TAAAATATTTTAAAATAATAATTATATAACATAAATATAATTTTATTAATATTCTATAAATTTAATAACTATTATCTTGATTATCATTTTAAGTTTTGGTTTCCTAAAAGTCTTCAATTTTTGAAAAGAAATATTTTTTCTTTAAAAAATTAAATAATTCTTAAACATATTTTCTAAATCTGACTTTTTTAATGTATTTTTTAAATCTATATTTTGGATGAGTGAGCAATAAAATCATTACTCATTAATGATAAAGTTTAATTATGATTAGATGTTAAATGAAAATATATCATATACAATTAAATATAGTGTAATTAGATATCACTCTCTAATAGTTATATACCTTAATTTTATATAATTTTACAACATTAATTGTAGAATCATATAAAATTGAGATAATTATGTAAAAACTACAATTATAATTTTTAATTAAAATGTTTTATCTTATCACAAATATTGATTGGGCTGTAATTTGAAAAATTTAATATCTATAAATTCCCACTGTTGACCATGTGTCTGAATGTCTATTCTCCTTAACCTTTCAACAGCGGGATAGTCAGGTATGGTGCTATCCCAAAGTAGTGGACAATAAACGTGGGAAATTTTTAAAGTATTTCTGTACGTGTTTTTTCTCATTACCGTTTTGGAAAAAGATTTTGTAAACAGTTATGTCTAGTAAAGAAAAGTCTTTTTTTTTTATTGTTACATAATTCATTTTTGATGTGAATTTTTTTTCATGGTAGTTTTTGGCGATACCCCCAAAAGAATTTAACGGATATATCCATCCCTCACCACTGCCACACGATCACCCTGGACGGATATATCCGTCCCTCACTGTTGAGTGGTTAATCTTGAGAATGGAGTTAGATAAATGAAAGTTGGGACCAGATATGGAAAGTTTAAAGACAGGAGGCACCAATTACCTATATATGAACTTCTGGTTTGCACCAGAAATTTTTGAATTGAAATAACATGACTTCTGGTTTACACCAGAAGTCATGTTATTTCAATTCAAAACTTTATAACATTTTTTAGTATTATTTTATTTTGTTATAAAATTAATATAATTCAATGTAAAATTATTATTAATTATTGTTCCAAAGTTCAAATTTGGTATGATAAATTGAATTGAAATAACATGACTTCTGGTTTACACCAGAAATCATGTTATTTCAATTCAAAAATTTTCCCCTGAAAGAGTTAGATGACTGGTACGACTCTATTGTAACAGGAAAAGTATGGTGTACAGGGGAAAGACACTACAAATATGAGATGGAGAACATACATTTTAAATCAAATAAATTAAAAATATGAATAAAAATTGCAACTTAGCACTGTGACAATGTCACAATAAATAATTTTTTGTTGTTCTTACATCTCCCCAACAAATTACACAATTTAAAACTAGCAATCAAAATATCTGTATAAGAAACAGAATTCAAACTTATTACTATACTCTTTACTAGCCATCAGAAGAAGTCTTTGAAATAAGGAAATGATTGAGAACAAGATAGTTATTATTGAATACTTTTGGTTCAAATGTAAAATAGGATGTGTTAACTTGAGCTGTTAGTTTAGCAGGACTAATCCAATAAAATGAATATGTTTTAAACCATTATTTCAACTCAATCATTTCTTGTTCATTATTTCAATACATACAAAATTTATCATACCAAATTTGAACTTTGGAACAATAATTAATAATAATTTTACATTGAATTATATTAATTTTATAACAAAATAAAATATAATACTAAAAAATGTTATAAATTAAGAATAAAATTTTGTCATTTAAATGAAGTACACTGATAAATTTGAAAATATTTCATATATTTAATTTTAGAATGTGATTTGATTGTTTCTGCATAAAAACAGTTTTAAATTATATTATATATACTTATCTGATGTATTATAAATTTCTAGACTTTATTTGGTAATTCTGAATATGATGAGATATATGGAACAATTAATTCTAATTCATCAATAATTGCTATAATTAAAGGACATTGGAATGATTCAATTTTATTGGAAGATAATCAAACTCATGTATATAAATTTGTCAGAATTTTAAAAATTGTTTTTATATAATTAAAACCCTTCTTGTAATATTATTTAAATATTTATTTATTCAAGAAAACACAATGTTTTTGGAATCCAACTCCTGATATTCGAAAAAAAGGACTTAAACAGTTTGTAGTGCCTGTTGAAGAACAAACAGAATTTGAATCAGAAAAGTAATTTAAAAATTTTCCTTTTATAATGTGTAAAACAATTATTTTATAAGGAAGAAAATTCAATTTATTTCAACAAATTACATTAATTACTTAACACAAACATATAGAAAACATAAGGAAATATATTATTATTAAAATAAGTATCTTTTACCGGTTTTTTCATTTATTTTTTAGCAAATAAATTGTGTTCATATATCTTACCTGTATTACATTTTTTAATTTAAGAAAGCATTAATTTTTTTTTAATAAAAATTAAAACTTATTATAATATATAATATTTATATCTCATATATAAATTATGATATATTATTATAATTATAAAATTTTATAATTTTGAAAATATTACTAGATTATGGTTACCATTGACTGAAGCCATATTTAAAAATGATCAACAAGCTGCTGATTATCAATTTGCTGAAATAGTTAAAAAAGTTTTAAATCCAGAGAAGATGCCAAAATATTTCAACCGGGATAAAGATACTCAGTCATGGATATATAAATATATAGAGTAAGTATCATAACAACTAATATAATCTCATTTTCTATCTTTGATTTCTTAATTTTTAAATTATTCTATGTACATAACAAAAGTTGGTTTGAATTTTTTATATGCATTTATTATATTATATAGAGTGATATTTTTATTACAACATAAATGATTTTGGGAACACTCACATTTCTGCTTGATATACTGTAGTTTAAAGCCTGAAGCAGGTTTCTAAATAAAGCTGAAAATGTTCATTGTAATAAAATTTATTACTGGAAAGAAATAAAGTTGTTTCTTGTTTGCTAGAAAGGGTACAGTAAATAAAGAAGAGTAGGGGAGTACATTTAGAAGTTTAAATAAACAATTAAATATTAACAATTAAAATTCTGAAACTAAACTAATTTTGTCAATAGTTTTACAAATTTTAATAGTCAAAATTTGTAATTAAATTTTTAATAAATTTAATTTTGTACAAATTTTGCACAGGTTAGCTATTTGTGTTTAAAGCAAATTTAAAAGCAGGGTGGGTTATGCAATGATGTGGGTTATCTGCCAATTTTAAATTCTAACTACAAACTCATGAAAGCATTTTCCTTTGGTCTAACTTATCAAGAGCATTCTTAGAAACATGAAAATCTTCTATCCGATCATTTGTAGACAATCATTTCTCATTGTGATTTTTCCTGAAACTACCAAGATATCTTGTCTTTAGTTCTCTCTCATTCATTTTCTATGAATTAATCATTATTTTAATTGATATTATTAAACACTCCTATTTGACCTTATATCTTAAAAGCTGGTAAGTTTTCAATAATTTTTCCTCTAGAATACTGCTGCATTGAACAATCAGGGGTATGTGATACTGCAGGTTAAATAACACTATTTCAGTTCAAACAATTTTCTGATGGTATACATCAGTGTAGTTATCTGCTTGAAATTATAGTAATTGTATTTGGGGAAATAACAAAATTTATATTATTATTTTAAATATTAACTCTGGTGGACTTTTTATGTATAAAAATTAACCTATTAAATATATAATAATTATTATATACTTTGATTTTTTCTTTCTTTCCATGTTGATTTTAAAATACAATAGTCTGATTGTCTGGAAATCTGAAAAACACAATTATCAGTATGAAAATGATTTTATAATTCAAAGTGGATATCATCCAGAAGGAAATGCAATTTGCTTGAAATCAAAATTATCTATTGAAGAAAGTATTAAATCTGCAAGTAAATATACTTCTAGATTACCTGTAGAATATAAAATAGTTATAAATTCTGTAATTAGAATTTTTTCATTTACAATACAATATTTTTCTTGAAGTTACTACATACAGAGTAAATATTTTTCTTTATTGCTTAGCAAATAAACTAATTATCAAATGTGAAAATGCCTATTTTGAATAAAAATTTATTTAATTATGAATTTTTGTTTGTAAAAATTGCAGCCTGGCATTGTGATGACATTTCAAAATTTTTGTAAGAAGACCAAAAATTTTATTTGTATTTAGACTTCAATTTGTAACATTTAAAAAATTTATTATTCAATTTTCTGTTGTTTCAAAAATTTTTTAGCAGAATATGTAGGAACATTTCAAGAATCAAGAAGAACTTATTATTGATATAAAAAGTTTAAAAATAGCATGAAAATATTGAAAATTGCAAATACTGTATTAGACAAATTAACCACATTGACAACACATACCATTCATCACAAATATGATCTATGGAGCCAGCACACGGCGTGAGCCAGTTGCCTCAGGCAGCACTTTCAAAGGGCAGAATTTTTTGATCACATATTGAAATTTTTATTCATTATAATGTGCAACAACTAAGTAAATAATTTACTTAATTGGCTTCTTCAATAAATTTTCAACGTAACTACATCAATTGGCACTCTATTGTTTTTATTTTACACCATGCTGGGATGCACTGGCACTGATATCTTTTAGGAAGTCAGAGAAACAAATGCAATTTTTTCTTGTTCTCAGTTGCACTCTGTTGATTATAGAGAACTGCTATTCACTAGAATCTTAGAAATGGCAACATTGATGAGATATATTTAAAGTGGATAATCTCGATTATTCAGTTATGTGCATCACAACTGTTAGCATTGTGAGGAAGTTTGGATAAAATATTTGCACCAAACAACAGTTGTTTTTTTTTTTTTTTAATTTTGGCATTATTATCAAAATTTGATCCTGTTACAAGTGAATATTTAAGAAGGTTGTCCCAGAATCCTCACATTAACTAAGTAAAGATATACAAAATGAACCTTATTTGTCTACTAAGACAATAGGTTCAAAACACCATTGTTGTTGTTATTAATGATTGTAAATATTATAGTATAATTTTTGACTGTACTTCCAATATCAACAGAATCAAGCAAATATCTTTGATAATGTTATTTTAGCAAGATTTTGAATATTCTAGCAAATATTTGCCTGTGAAATTAACTACTGGAGCTGGTTTGATTGAAATCATACTGTAAGAACTGCAAGCATTAGGCCTAAAAATTAAAAATATGCATGTATAATAATGAAGTAAATATGAAAGGTGCCCATTCCAGTGTCCAAAGATGAATTTTGAATCAAATTCCCAGAGACTGTTTTGTTTCCCACTCATTCTGTTCTTTGAACCTTGTTGTTAGTGATGCAGTGGCAGCTTCTGAAGAAATCATTAATATTTTTTTCACTGCTGCAAAAAGTGTTTGCATTTTTTCGCAGTTTCACTAACAGATGAATTGTTTTAAAAATTCTAGCAACAAGTTGCTTAATTTTCCTGGCAACATTTGGTGTTATGATGTTTTATTTTTAAAAACTTTTATACTTTTAACTATTATAAAATGGCAAAAAGCTTAATTTTAAGGGTAGGGATGAGTTTTTATAAAACATTGTAAATGCTAATAACAAATATGAACAATTATTTATTGTGTGATTGTCACAATGTCAGGCTGCAATTTTTAATCATATTTTTAATTTATTTAATTTAAAATATATGCTCTCCATCTCAAATTAGTATAGTAGTGTCTTGCCCCTATACATCATACTTTTTCTTTAACAATAGATTCATGCAGGTCATTAATAACTGCTTTTGGGTGAAACATTTTGAATTGAAATAATGTGACTTTTGATTTACATCGGGAGTTCATATACAAGGTGCGTTCCATAAGTAATGTGACTAATTTTTTCACAACACGACGATATGCTGTAGCTAGTTCTGACCTGCTGTGTTAGGTGGTGTGGGGTGTTAGCTTCAAAACTCGCCTGGTCTCATTTGCCTCCAAGAAGCCTGCATGTGAGAATTCCCGTGAACCCTGTTTTGAGTTAATGTAACACGGAGCGATGGATCATTTTGTGGAGCAACGTTACACTATCAAATTTTCGTTAAACTTGGGAAGTCTGCCACTGAAACTTTTACATTAATTCAGCAGGCCTTTGGGAGTGATTGCTTCTCCAAATCACAAGTCTTTCAAGGATGGCCGAGAGGAGGTCACCGACAAGCCTTGCAGTGGAGGTCCATCAACCTCCCAAATTGTCTTCTTTGACATCAGAGGCATTAACCACCATGAATTTGTACCTGTCAGGACCACTGTAAATGCAGCTTTCTACTTGGAAGTGTTCAAAAGACTGAAATCCTAGTCACACGCTGCCGAAGTGACATCAAGGACACGTGGAAACTTCATCACGACAATGCGCCAAACCACACCACCTCCACTGTCAAAGATTTCCTGGCCAAGACACACACCCCATTGGTTCCACAGCCACCTTACAGTCCTGACCTGGCTCCCACCAAGTTTTTTTTGTTTCCCTGCATGAAAAGGAAACATTGGGACACGATTGAAAACATCAAGGCTTATGATACATCAGCTCTAAAGGACATTCCAGAGAAGGCCTTCCAGGCCCAGAAACACCGCCTTCACAAGTGTATCAATGCAGGAAGGTGCTATTTTGAAGATTTTTGATTAATTATAAAAATATGTTCAACAAATGATTTTTTATAAATTTGGTCGCATTACTTATGGAACGCACCTTGTATAGTTACTTGGGGCCTCCTGCTCTTAAAGTTTCCATATCTGGTGTCAGATTTTATCTATCTAACTTCATTCGTGAGATTAAGGAAAGACAGAGAGGCAGATGAAAGAGAAAATTTATAGGTCTACAGGTTTTCAAATTGCAGTCCAAAAATTGTCATCAAGTCTGACCCTACTGGAGATACACATGACCACCATTATCTCCCCACCCCTTGACCTTGAATTAAAATTTAATAGCATCAACCCCCTAATAAACAAACCTCCCAGCAAATTTCAGAAATTTTCGACAGAAAGCACAGAAGTTATGAAGCTTCAAAGAGGGTGAACAAAATCATCCCCCACACAAACATCCACACATATAGAGGGAAAAAGTAGATTTAGTTTTTTCTTTTCATTTCTCAACATTTCAAGATCTTCTAAGTCCAAAAGCATAAAAATCTTGGGAGGGGGCATTTTTTCACTGATTGTTATATATAATAGAGGGACAGTATGCAGAGCCAGGAAAGTAAAAATTATAAGGACTTCACAGTCAATCACTTATAGTCTGGTATAGTAGAGGTCACTATTCTGATATAGAGCAATTCAATTTATTCAATCAACTTTTAATTGTTAGATATATTTTAAAAAAGAAAATGTTTATAATAAAATTATAAAAGTAGCTTGAAAGTACTTGATTCNATTAAAATGTTTTATCTTATCACAAATATTGATTGGGCTGTAATTTGAAAAATTTAATATCTATAAATTCCCACTGTTGACCATGTGTCTGAATGTCTATTCTCCTTAACCTTTCAACAGCGGGATAGTCAGGTATGGTGCTATCCCAAAGTAGTGGACAATAAACGTGGGAAATTTTTAAAGTATTTCTGTACGTGTTTTTTCTCATTACCGTTTTGGAAAAAGATTTTGTAAACAGTTATGTCTAGTAAAGAAAAGTCTTTTTTTTTTATTGTTACATAATTCATTTTTGATGTGAATTTTTTTTCATGGTAGTTTTTGGCGATACCCCCAAAAGAATTTAACGGATATATCCATCCCTCACCACTGCCACACGATCACCCTGGACGGATATATCCGTCCCTCACTGTTGAGTGGTTAATCTTGAGAATGGAGTTAGATAAATGAAAGTTGGGACCAGATATGGAAAGTTTAAAGACAGGAGGCACCAATTACCTATATATGAACTTCTGGTTTGCACCAGAAATTTTTGAATTGAAATAACATGACTTCTGGTTTACACCAGAAGTCATGTTATTTCAATTCAAAACTTTATAACATTTTTTAGTATTATATTTTATTTTGTTATAAAATTAATATAATTCAATGTAAAATTATTATTAATTATTGTTCCAAAGTTCAAATTTGGTATGATAAATTGAATTGAAATAACATGACTTCTGGTTTACACCAGAAATCATGTTATTTCAATTCAAAAATTTTCCCCTGAAAGAGTTAGATGACTGGTACGACTCTATTGTAACAGGAAAAGTATGGTGTACAGGGGAAAGACACTACAAATATGAGATGGAGAACATACATTTTAAATCAAATAAATTAAAAATATGAATAAAAATTGCAACTTAGCACTGTGACAATGTCACAATAAATAATTTTTTGTTGTTCTTACATCTCCCCAACAAATTACACAATTTAAAACTAGCAATCAAAATATCTGTATAAGAAACAGAATTCAAACTTATTACTATACTCTTTACTAGCCATCAGAAGAAGTCTTTGAAATAAGGAAATGATTGAGAACAAGATAGTTATTATTGAATACTTTTGGTTCAAATGTAAAATAGGATGTGTTAACTTGAGCTGTTAGTTTAGCAGGACTAATCCAATAAAATGAATATGTTTTAAACCATTATTTCAACTCAATCATTTCTTGTTCATTATTTCAATGATGTCATTCTAGTTTTTATCAAAAATTTAGATTTATGTTATTTTTCAGAGTTTGATGTTATATTATGCAATGAACAAGGATATTATGTATACTTATTCAGTACTCAATATTACATCAAACTCTGAAAAACAACATAAACAGTCTATACATTTTTATAATATTTTATAATAATTCTTAATTAAATAAAAGTCCTAATATGAATAGCTATCAGCAGGGTCATCCAGTGAGAAACAGGGTCTGGGAAAAAATACATATTGGGAACCCTACAGCAAGAAGGAATTAAATGAAAAAAACAATGTATATGGATAGAGCAGTTTGTTGCTTCTGTCCCTCTTGGCAACTCTGACTCTCAGTAGTGTAAATAAGACCCCCTTGGATCTTATTACAAAGGATTCACAGATACAGAAATTTAAAATTAGAATTTATTGTGTGTTCTTTGGTGGATTACATTATTTTGATAAAAAGCAGTATTCTGTTTTGACATGATTTTTATTTCTGTATCAAGAAATAAAGTTTTTGGATGAAAAAACTGAAAACAAACTGCAAAAAATAAAATGATATAATGATTTATCACCCAAATTTGATAGAAATTATAGAATTAAATAAAATCAAATGGAGAGAGAGAAGAAAACTGATCAATTTTACTATATTTCTAATCAAATGAGCAAGATAATATCTTATTCAGCAATTGATGGAAATAAAAAACTCAAAAAACTATATTTACAACAAAGAATTAACTATTAGAGTCAAGAATGAACCAATTAGTTTATTTATATCTGTATATAATTATATAAGCCAGTCAACTGAATTTTTGATTCCTTGAACACTTTTGTGAAATTAAAAGAATTTTTCATATAACATGCTGTTATATTAACATGTAAAAATATATTTTATAAATAAAAGATGTTTGTACTAAGTTAATAAATATTTTTTATTCTCAGTGTTTGCTATTATTTCTAAACATGAATATAGTTTAATTTGTTTGAAATTAAACTATTTAAATAGTGTTTAATTATACAGTTTGTATAATTAACAATGAAATTGGATGTCAAGTCCATCTCAAGCACCAAAATTCTTTGGCTCTATCTATAACTTTAGCCAATGCCCTCATTGAAGAGTTAGATTTGGAATAAAGCTCACCAACATTCTCTGTTCTTCCTTAATCTTATTTTTTATTCTCATTTCCCTTTTACTTTATACATTTGTTTTTTATTTGAACTTTCCATCTTCATCAAAGTCTTAATCCTGAAAGTTTCATTTCAAGAACCTGGACGAATATTCTTCCTTCTGTTGTCTTAGCATGGCCATCCAATTAGTTTATATTTTAGTTTTATTACCTGAAACTTTTACTTTTGAATCTTGATGTGAATGCAAAATAATATATATTTCAAGTCATAATTTATCTGAGAGTAATGAAATACATTTCTATTATTTAGTTTCGAGAAGGAAACAACTTTTCTCTTCCAATCAGCTTATTAGAACCAAGATCTTCTCTTGATAAATTTGCTGATAGTTTCCTTCATATTGATATTCTCAGCGAGTAAGCAATTTTTAACATTTTATTATTATTCTAATATAATTTTATTTATGGAACAATAATAATATGAAATATATATAATTACTGAATCACAATCATTGATATATACTAAATTATAAATAATGTTTAGAATTTTATCAGTCCCATAGCCAGGAATAATAATATATAACAATTTAATTTTAGAGCTGCTATAATAACAAGACAAACTTTTCTTTATTCCAGCAAAATATTAACAGATATACAAATGTTTTTGAGCACATTGCAATCAATGTGCTCAATGTCAATGTGCTCTGCTTCAAGTCAATTACAACTTACAAATGTGTTCTATTTTTGAATGTTCTATAACATTCTATAACATTTGAACCAAATTTCAAAATGTAAAATGTAATTCTAATTTACAAAATTTATTAAATTAAATTAACAAAATATATATTTTCTATAAAAATGTTGTAATCAATGTTAAATTGGATCACTATAATGACCTTTCTTCTTGGGGTTATCTGGGATAAAGAAAAGGTTGTCTTGTTTTTATCCAGTATTTCCAGTTTTAATTCTTAATTTATGTTTTAGAGCTGCTATAGAAAAAGACCCATTGACAAGAATGAAATTAGTTGTTAAATGGTATTTGTCAGGATTTTATCTCCAATCAAAAAGTCTTAAAAAGCCATATATTCCAAAAATGGGTGAAGCATTTCGATGCTTTTGGTACCATCCAAAAACAGATAGTAAGACATTTTTTTTAGCAGAACAGGTAAGCATATTTAATTTTAATTAAATTAATAAATATATATTTAAATTTAAACTCTGTCTTATTGAGCTCAATGGTTTATAAATGAGTGCAGTAAAATAGTTTTATTGGGGCTCATTTACATTAAATAACAGTTTATTGAGCACTTCTGGACAACCAACCAGTACCTAAGAGCTACAAGTTACATATGTTTGTTTATGTATTTCTTGTTTCTTTCTTTTCCTTCTTGTTTCTTCCAATATTCTTGCACCTTTCCAATCTATCATAACTAACAGTTTCTTGTCTCAGCATGGTAGTGAGTTTTTTGTTCTGATATTTCTTCTGTGCTCCTGTATCCAAGTTTATAGCCATCATTTTGTAGCTCTCACATAACTTTATTTATTTGTTTCCACAACAATAGCCGCTCTCATTTAGAGGTTTTTTCATGCTCATTTGGATTTAGACATGTATTTGACCAGATCTCTAATGAGTGAGTAACAGGGCTTGACATATCTGAGAATGATTATTCATGAAAAATACATGAATTTGCTCATCTAGTCTTGATCCTGGGTCCTCAGAATAGTAGGTTGATGCCTTGTCCACCTCAGCCACCTGGCTGTTTGTGATTGCATGTTATCTCCAATGTTTGAAATTCTTTACCTAGTGCTATTGGATAACTCTTTCAATCAGTGATGTAAATGCTGCATATTTATCAAAATTAATAGAGTCCTCTGATGCATATGATACATAAATTTATGTAAATGTATTCTTCCTATAAACCAAAGGTTAAGCATATCATCCTTCTCTAGCCATAAATCCAAGAAATGCATTTTAGTATTCAATTCTTATTGAAGTTTAAGACCCAAGTTTTCATCAGAAAACATATTGACAACCTCTTCAATCTCATTTATATCATTCTAAATTTAGTAAAGTATTTTTATAATTTTTTAACTTAACATATCTTTTTAATGAATTTAATTATTTTTAGTTTTTTATTTATCGTTTTTATTCAATTTGAGATTATAAAAATATGTCACTGACAGTTACAGTATTTTAGTGAAAGTTTTAATTATTTCCAACAATAACAATAAGTGGATACAAACATTCAACAATCGCCTAAATGATCAGGTTAAAATTTGGCTATTTTAAATAATTAATACAAATTAATTTGCTACTAGAGGTAGACGTTTGGCACCATTCTGTTAACTAAATTAATAATTATAATTTAAATTTATTAAATAATTTAGAACCTTCTGGAAGAAAAGAACTGACCCGAGACAGGGCTTGAACCCACAGCATCTGCTTGCTGTGGTATATATACCTCACTGGGTAAATCATTCGCTGGCTGAGTGCCATAGTGAAGTTGTTCTTAGGCCATGGGCATAGGAGTCATCCCCAGCCAGTGCAGCCATTAACCTCGTAAGGTTATATCCAAATTTAAATACCTCTGGAAGCAAAGGCTTGCTTGGGGTCTGGGTGGCACAATTGGCAACCACACTGCATAGCAAGTGGAAGCTGTGGGTTCAAGCCCTGTCCCAGGTCAATTCTTTTCTTCCAGAAGGTTCTAAATTATTTAAAAAATTATTTATTAAATAATTTAGAACCTTATGTAATAATTTAAAATTGTATAATGTTTATATTCATAATTACATATTTCATAAATTCTAATTATTAATTTAGTTAAGAGATGGCACCTAACTCCAACCCTAGTAGCAAATTAATTTGTATTAATTATTTAAAATAGTCAAATTGTAGCTCTATCATTTAGGTGATCGTTGGATGTTTATATATACTCAACAGACTTTATAATGTTTGTTATATCAATAAGTGGATTCCATATATCAGTATGATGCTTACCATCTAAAAGAAAAACTGAATGAATAAAACTGATTTTATATCATGGATTATAAATTCGTGTGTCAAACTAAAAAAATAAATTGTTTTTCCTGTTTAATAAATTTATTATCTTCTTTATTTTATGCTGTTTATCATAAGAATAATTCTACAACAGAATTTATAAATAGAGTATTTTAAATAAAGAAAGCAAATTAAGTGGCCAGATGGCTAAGCTGTTAAGGTGGCAGCCCACTGCTCTGAGATCAAATCTGAACATGTTGAAAAACCTCAGGAATTTTTGGAGGGTGATCTATCTAGATATGTCAGGTCCCATTTCTCAGTGACCCCATCCAGCTGCCAGCTGTAGGCCTGGCCAAGCCCATTAATGGGCTTGCTAAAAAAAACAGACTCTCTTAGTGCTCATTAGGCAAAAAGAATTAAAAAAAAGCAAATTAAGTTATTTCTAATTATATATTATGTTGGTACTCAAATACATTACGATTTTCGATCCAATACACTATCTCTATAGATAGAGACCATTTTTTTGGTCCCTATCTATTGGGTGTAAAATTGCGAAACTTGCTGAGGTCATAAACAACATCCAATAGAATGTAAATAAGCATTGTTTGAATTATTTTGAGCAACAAAATGCTATGTATGATTATTTAAATTAGCCTGAGTTATCTTGGGTTTGGTTATTTCAGTTTAAATTCTTTTATTGTTTTTATTTGTACGCAATATTGTTAATTTGTGTTTGTTTTTTTTACTTATTTTTTTTAATACCATATTTGGTGTTAATTAATGTTTATGTTTTTGATTTTCAAAAATAAATTGAAAAAGTACTGTATATATAAGCATTAAATTGCCTTTAAAAATTAATGAACTCATCCTTTTTATTCCTTTAATCATTATCTCATTTTATGTTGTTATAAAGAACATATCCTCAACTTTTCCTTGCCTTCTTTAGATCGATTTACATGATTTACAGTTTAATTGAACATATCCTTCTATTTTGTATGAATTCGTTATCTCATTTTACATGGTTTCAGTTTGCACAATTTTTCTAGGAACTTATCTACGAGGGATGAGTGTCTATACTCTCATGTCATGATTTTTGCCATGCCTAAGACTGGAGAAATACATTAAGCTTATATTTTCTTTTGATTAAAATAGAAGATTACAAAATGGATGTTGAAATTACTAATAAATTTAGTTCAAGAAACATCTACTTTGAGGAATAAAGGTTTAGAAGAATACAAGTCTCAAGATTTAACAGTAAATCAGTGGAATTGAATTTTGCATTTTAGAATTTTGATGAAGTAATGCAATGATGAGCAACCTTTTCTGGATGTGGGCTGCAACTGAATTTTGTAGACTGCTGACAGACCTCATGCATTTTTTCTTGTAGAGTTGCAGGCTTTAAGTCTTCCATGTACAAACATACTTCCTAGTCCCAATACACTAGGTACTAAAATAATATATGCTAACAATGCTAGTAATACATAGTTTCTTCTTATCTTTTGATTGGTCAAGTTTAGTTTGAATGTTCTTTGTCATGAATATTGACTTAATTAGAATTACACAAGATAGTAAACAGAAAAATAATAAAATTATGTTGCCAAAGCCTCAGAGATTACTCTTATCTCAAGCTTCAGGTTACTCTTGACTGAAGTAAAGTATTCTAAAAATAATCAATAATTCATTGAACACAGACAAACAAAGATAATAAAAAATTTTGAATTGTCCTGCCTTATCTTATTAAACAAAGTAGAAAATACTCCCATCAAACTTTTTTCTATATTTACTGGATATACTGAGTGAACGATTTGACTATTTTTCATTTATGTAATAAATATAGATGGGTGGTACTGTACATTTTCTCTGGTTCATCACAAACCACTGCTCCCAAATAAGTGTAAAAAACAAACTAATTGAAAATATAGAAAATATCATATGCACAGTTGCTGTGAGTATATACAGTTGGCTAATGTGCTTAGATGTGGCATCCTGACTATTCATAGTCATGGTTTCAAATTGGATTCTGTGAAAAGGTGCCTAAGGAATTGCCTGATTTTTATTTAAAATATGGAATTTGTCATTAATATTTTATTATATAGTTTCTAAACATATTTATTCTGAAATATATTTTAGATATCTGATAAACCTCAAGAAGTTGCCATTCATATTATCAATCAAAAAGATGGATTTAGACTTAATGGAAGCTTCATTGTTAACTTATCATTTAGTGGTAAATATAATACTATATATTAGATAATTTTTATATTGAAGAATACAAAATTTCAGGGTTACATTTTTCATATTCACATACCTTAAATTTANTAGATATATTTTAAAAAAGAAAATGTTTATAATAAAATTATAAAAGTAGCTTGAAAGTACTTGAATCTTTTATGTTTATAATTTTGTTTCCATTAAAACATTTTGTCAATGAATTTCATAAACTGTTGAAACTTTAAAATACTGAATACTGTCAGTATTATAAAGTCATAAACTGATAAGACACAAATCAACAACTAATTCTATTAGTTGTTAATTTAAAAATTGAATACAGTACAGAATTGAATCAGATATTGTATATCTGATGAGAAAGATTACTATTATAGGATTATTATAAATGCAATACCATACTTAAAATTTTTAACATTGTTTTATTATAGGAAACAGTGTTAAAGAAAATCCTGTAGTGGAAGTTATGAAATCAATGGAACAGGTGAATAAAACGTATGAGAAAATTTTCAAAAGCATGCAGTCTAATTTGGAATTAATTAAATTTCAACAGGAAGAAGTACAAAACTGGAAAAAAACTTTATTTTTATTGGGAATTTTTGGTGGACTTTTAATTTTCAAAGTAGCAGTTTCAAATATAACAATAAAATAAATATTGAAATAAATGTTTTTTTTTAAAACACGTATCAATAAAAAATATTAACCTTTATTAAATTCTATTGATGTTTGTCTATTATTTTCAATACATATTTAGCACACTGATAAATATAAAAATTCAGAGTGAAATGTCTCAGGTTGCAAAATGACAGTCAAAAATGTTTAAGAGAAAAAAGTAAATAAAAATAATAAATCAAACACTGGAGTCCTGTAAATGTTGTTTATAAATAGTCATAGAAGAATGCCTTGGTTGAAGTACTTTTTATTGGCAATAGTTCTGGAAGTAGGGGCAACAAAAATTTGTTTTGTCTCAAGAACAAATTACCATTGAGTTGGCATTGTCATCAGTCTATCAAACTGGGAGACCATGATCAAATTTGAGCAGATAAAAATCCTAGGAATTTTATTTTGGGAATGATGTGGTCCAGATATGTTGGTCTCGTCCCTTGTTACCTGACTCCCTACAATGGATCTGGCATGGCCGAACTCACAATGTGCTTGAAAAATAAAATTCTGAAGTTGTGCCACAAGATATACATAAGTTACCATTCAAAATTTTAAAGTTATAACTGTTTTGACCTTAACTCTACACCTGGCTTTATGTTAGCTTATGGTTCTAATGAAATTCGGTGATCATGAGTTTTAGTACCTAACATGTTCTGTATTTTAATACATTAACAGAACATGTTGAACACAATCAATGAAATGTTATATAATCAAGATGGGTTGATAATAATAAGTGCAGAGCCCAAACAGTTAGGAGTTGAAAGTTGAAATTTGGTACACAGTTAGGGTATGTCATGAGAACCTACACTAAGAAGAGATTTTTTGAAATCCCTGACAGGGGAGAGGTTGTTAACACTTCCCTGTGGGGAAGTGTTAAGAGAAAGCAATGTGCAAGATTTACAGGTGCAAATGCGGTTTTTTGCATTTTTATGAAAAATCAAACATATTTTTAGATCCATCTAAAAATTTTCTAATTAGACTGGAAACAGGGGGACCTAATTCTTGCATTCTGTGAAAACGGGTAAGATTGGCTATAATGTAATAATCTTAATCTTTGCTATCATTACTTTTTGCCCAAGCAATGCCAGGCTTATCTGTTAGCAGATTTTAAGCAAAGATAAACTCTACCGTTTATTTATTACCAGCAGAGACTAAGAAAACAAACTGAAAGGTGAAAAAGTAAGAAAGAACACCATCATTATCTATTCAAACTAAAATCTGCGGTTGTTAAAATTATTTAACTTTATTTTGTCGGTACTAGAGGGATTTATGCAACTGACTTTATGATACTCATGCAAACGTTTATCATTTAATTGAGGTTAATGTTACCTATGGTTCCAAAATGGCCATTCTTCCGAATGTTCGTGGTCCAGAAAGACTCCTCCCGGAGGGGAGCCGCCGGCAGGCCGCCGAGTGCCAAACGTCACTAGTTATTGATTCACGGTAGTTCTTGAACAAAATAAATAAAAAAAAAAGGAAACGTCTCATAAAAATGTAGCTAATCTAACGGAACCGAAACGAACCTAACCGAAGCGCCGCCATTTTGAAACCATAGGTAACATTAACTTTTATTTATAACTAGTAATCAAATTTTATTGCTTACCTGAAATGAAATGTTTCTGACAAACTCTTTTATTGATATTCACTTTATCCGTATTGAAATTTTTCTGGTTAATTCTGGAGAGCCATGCAAATCGCCTTCCTCGTGAAAGCTCCTCAGTTTGGGGTCCTTGATGACAAATAATGCCGGGAATTTTAAAAAATAACGTTCCTTTGTTCTCGAGTGAACTAGCGTTACACCCAAATACACAACAATTCACCATAGTGATATTTGCGACGAATAAACAATACAAGGGGCGCGTTTGTTAATAGCGGTCGCTCTGCGTCTCCGCTACTACGGGAGTGCGCTGCTGTTTGTAAGCATTTAGGAACCAGGGGCGCCGATAGCAGTTTGAACGCCCGTGTGCAATACCAACTATGCCGCCCCCTGTTTAACTACGATTACCTACGCTGAGCTTGCCAGAAAGGCTCTTTAGTGTTGTCTCGTAAGGATGTGAAAAAAAGAAAAGAAATACTTTACAAAGAAAATCTATTTATTATTACTAAGTTATTTTTGTTTACTTAAGTGTAAAACCATATAAATATTTATCTATAGAAATTGAACTTCTCTTGCCTTTATGTTTGCGAAATCTGCTATCAATTTTCAATGTATCCAAGCAGTCTAAGATTTCATGTTCAATTGAAAATATAGCTAAATTACTTAATCTTTGCTGGTGCGTTGTTGATCTTAAATAGTTTTTTTATAATTTTAACTTTGAAAAGGACCCTTCACCAAATGCAACTGAAACCGGCAATGTAAGTAATATTCTTAGTGCTATTGCTGTGTTCGGAAATGTTGAAGTTAAGTCATTAGTAAAAAGATATTGTAATAAGGTTTGAGGATCATTAGACTGGTTTTCTGGAAAATGCAACTTTAAAGTATCGATTTCATTAAACAAATCAATACCGTCAATGTCTGTTTCACTACTTGAATCGTCTTTAAGCTTCAGATTTAAATCCTAACCAAGTTAAAATATCATTAATTATACTTAGACCCATGTCAGAAGAATTATTAACAAAATAATTGCAATTTGATATGCGATAGAACTGTTCGAATGCGTACAAGTACAAATTGATAAGGAAGCCCTGTGGGGATTCCGTAATTTCGCCAGTCCTGTCAACTTCTGTCATAGAGCACAACTATGAGTACTTGGCTTTCGGGCGCCGCCGGATAGTTCAACCTGCCGACAGACGTTTCGCATTGCATCCTAATTCTGATAAATGCCAATAGAGGCGCTGTTAATGCTATAATATAGGCAAATAAGAATATAGTAATTGCGCTCCTGTCGGATTTTTTTCTCCTTGAGAAGACATTTCTTATGCTATAAGTAGGGTGGGTATTGGGGCAATGGCTTTGAATATTACGAGACCGATCGCTCGATTTGCCGCCGCTCTTGACCGCTGCTGCCCGCGTGCAGTGCACGTCTTGCACGCCCGCTTACGGCGGGCCTGTTAGGAACGACTGTGAAAGAAAGAAAGATGGCGGTGACCGTACTATCGATAGTATCGTAATGGACGAATATATAATTATAAAATATGTGTTTTTAGAGACAAAAGAAGGGTTCCAATTGTAAAATTTAACCATAAAATGGGTTATCTTGCCGACAGAGCGTCAAAGTAGCCACAGAAAAATTTAGAATGCCGGCTACCATTCGAAAAAAATTCGAGAAGACACTTACATCACCGCGTGCACTAACTTGCGTTTTCACAACTAAATTTTAATTCATAAAATCACGTAATAGAGTCTCACACGAAACTGTCTGAGGCATGGAGGACGCCATATTGCTTTCCACCGTAAACTACTACTGTGAAAGGCCGTTTTTGCTGTCCTACAACGCACTTTCCGGCCGGAATATAGGAACGCGTTCCGCAGGCATTTTTAAACGGATGTCACTCGCGCGGAGTTACGCGGAAAAATAAAAGAACGCACCCAAGAACTTCAGCTACAGCATGCGTAAACACGAATAAAATGTAAACAAACCACAAAGATGGCGCCGGACAATTGCGCATGCTCATGACGTCACTCGTGATGTCGACTTGAAACCTCTCTATAGGTATCACCTTTTCAATGATATTTCGTGTCTTTCTCCGCTACAGGATTACTAAATTTTCGGAAGTTTTTACTTAAATTGGCTACTCTTGTATGGTCTCGATTATAATATACATCTTTTTCATACTTTTCGTGACTTCTAACTGCTGTACTTTTAGAACAGCCAAGAAAAAGCTCAAATTGATATGCAAAAAATTTGTACAAATAAACGTTCTGTTGAAATGCCATTACGCTTTTACCTGTACAAAATGTAGGTACTACATTAGTACTTTGTCATTCGATCCTACTGATGTTTAGATCTAACATTAAGCAGGCAAACACGAACAGTAACAAAAAAAGAACTTTATTAGAAAAGGTTAGAACTGTCACAGACATCCTCGGGCAACACCCGGACAAAATCCAACGAACTTTCGCGCCTTTTCTTTTCTTCATGTTGCCAGCCACTCTTGTTGGCAAGTGTTGCCAGCCAGAGTTCGTGATCTTGGCAAGTGTTGCCAGACAGTGTTCAGGATCTCTGGCGCTGGCGGCCACAGCTACTCNTTAAATTGGCTACTCTTGTATGGTCTCGATTATAATATACATCTTTTTCATACTTTTCGTGACTTCTAACTGCTGTACTTTTAGAACAGCCAAGAAAAAGCTCAAATTGATATGCAAAAAATTTGTACAAATAAACGTTCTGTTGAAATGCCATTACGCTTTTACCTGTACAAAATGTAGGTACTACATTAGTACTTTGTCATTCGATCCTACTGATGTTTAGATCTAACATTAAGCAGGCAAACACGAACAGTAACAAAAAAAGAACTTTATTAGAAAAGGTTAGAACTGTCACAGACATCCTCGGGCAACACCCGGACAAAATCCAACGAACTTTCGCGCCTTTTCTTTTCTTCATGTTGCCAGCCACTCTTGTTGGCAAGTGTTGCCAGCCAGAGTTCGTGATCTTGGCAAGTGTTGCCAGACAGAGTTCGTGATCTTGGCAAGTGTTGCCAGACAGTGTTCAGGATCTCTGGCGCTGGCGGCCACAGTACATTTTATTACAGAGTAGTTTCCATCTAGTGAGCTGTCTAAAAACTGAGGCATTTTTTACACAGAACAGCGTTTCTTAAACTAGGGTCACGACCATTCGAGAGGTGGACTAAAAATTTTAGACGGTCGCAAACATAGGAGTAAAGTTGGAAGGAGGGGCTCATATTAGAATTTCGAACTATGGCCGAAATGAAGTTGTTTCGGCTCTGCAGAAACGCATACAACTATTACATATACTGTATTATTATGGAGTACATATTTTCGATCAATGCGCTACTTTCAAAGAATATATAGCTTTAGTTAACCACAGTTAGATTAGCTTCAGTTTGCCCCTCTGGGGCACGAGATATATCCCGGTGACAATTACTAACAAACTAAGACTTAAAATTGAGGATGAAGCTTTATCACCGAGGATTCTGTTACTTGTCGATTGCTGGATCTGCTTTGCAGAAGCTATCCGGAATTTGTGAGAGAGAGTCAATTCTCTCCCACAAATTCCGGTCCATCCGCCACAAGAGACCTTTCGGCTGTGTACACATTAAGCATTTTGCGTTGCGTTAAACGAGCGTTAGCAGCGTACACACACCGCGTTAGCTAGGCGTTCGACGACCGTTTAGAGGAGCGTGAGCACTGGCTCAGTTTGGAAATGTACGTGAAAGTAATTGCTTATGTGTGCCTTCTCCATCGTCACTATAAAAGACAATGGCAAAGGCAAAGAGAATTTTGGGTGCACCCAATATTACGAGATAGATTGACGCATGGAATGTTTGTGACGTTGTATCCAAAACTAAGACAATGTGAACCCAAGTTTATTAATTCTTTTAGAATATCTATAAAATCATTTGACGATGGCTGGTCTCTTTTAGATTTCATCAATAAATAGATCAGTATCGAAATGATCGTTCTCAATTTCGGCCAACACGTGTCCACTCTACCCGAAAACGCGCGATCGAATGTACAATAATATGGCAGCACATGTATTTCAAAACGCGCTGCTGACGCCCGCGAAACGCGCGTTTTAACAAAAATTTATCAAAGCGCGTTTGACGCGCGCTTGGCCAGAAGCGCGCGTTTGAGTGTGTATATCTATGCAGAACTCTGGGTTCTTTAAAACGCGCGTTTAAAAACGTCTAATGTGTACACAGCCTTCAAATTTCAGTGCCGAACGTCCTTCTCGCGCACCGTAATCGAGAACCATCTATATAACATATTATGGGTTAATTAAGTATGAAATTTGATTTCAGGGTTAAACTGTTTTAAATTCGAATATTACTATACAGTAGAAATTTCCTTACGAATTTTATAATTACATAAACTACAAAATTAAATTAAATTTTGACAGTAATATTTAATAAAATTTAGTAATTTCGTAAGACACGTTATGTATTTTATAATATTTTTTCAATGCCTAAAATTTCAATTTTATTAGAAATACTTTTCAGAATTTGGCTATAATTATTATTTAATCGTCATCAGTTTGCCGTCATATTTTAGTGGAGTGGACGTAATTACTCTCGTCGTCTGTTGGCGCGAAAGGAACGAATTATCTACTTCCTAAACTTGGATATTACTGAAAAGACTCTTTTATATAAGTGTTTTAATAAGAAGATAAGAATTTCGTTGTTTAAATATGTCGTCAAATACGTCATCCCCAAATAAGATGGACAGGTAAATGTATATAATTGCCATTAGGATACGTTTAAGCCATTGCGAAGGTTTGTTTTGAATGAAAAGTTTGTGTATCGACCAATCAACAGTTTTATATGCAGTAATATAGTTCAATGACATCGTACAACTATTTTTTTCTCTCTTGCTTCACTAATTTCTCCTTTAAATCTTCTTCCACTTCGTACTATTATAAGAAATTAAATAAATATTTTGTTTAATGCAATAAATTATCAGTTTATAAGTTATATTTTGGACACTGTTTTAAACATTATCATTTATTTGACACAAAAAAAATAATGTAATAATTTCATATTCCAGGTCAGTATTTTATTACATTATAGTGTAATAATATGCCAATCTGAATTACCTTAAATGTATATAATGCAATTGCAAAGCAAAAATAATTAAGTTATTTATTCTCTTGTATTTCAATATTACCAGAACTTGTTAACTACAATATTTTATTTTGTTTATTTGCTAGAATTATTTTATTTCCAGAATAATTATGACCTTGTGCACATGCATCATTCTTTTGCTTGCAGCTTTTCAACTAGCAATTCAAAAGAGGAATTATGCAAATCCATTTATGTATGGTTTATGATTTGCTAGATGTGTTTTTCTTCTGTTTGTAATTTTGTGTGTATTAAATTGGGAAATATCCAGTAAAGATTATACAAACATTATTTGGTACTAAATCACTCTCTTAAACATATTACGATATAATCTACCTATGTTTATATAATCTTTACGTGTGTTAATAAATGCTAAAATTTTGTTTACCGATTGAGAGCAATTTGCTCATTGCACTTTTCCTGGAATATTTTGATGGTAAACGGAATTAAATATGTGACCTGCTAATTAGTTATTGTTGTAAAATTAAAACAATTGTTTTCTGTTTATTCTAATTACGATAATTTTAAAAATCCCCTATTTCAGATGTTATCAATATAATATAAATATAAATCAATTCTCTATTTATATACTAATGTATTGTATTTGTATTATATTATAATGCTGAAACAGAATTTAGACTTATTGTTGTTACATCATATTTGCTTTTTATATGGCTTGAAATTTCCTAATCATTAATTAACTCTGCAATTATTATTTTAACAAGAATAATTCAATGTATATGTTTGAAGTGATTGCATTTCTTTATATATCATTTAGAATCAAAATTAAATAATATCCAGTGAGATTATGGTTTGTATGAGATAATTACATTGTATATAATTATTAAATTGGCCTTATTATAGTCTGATCATTTGGCAGATTAACTTGCTTTGATTACAGTTTGTTTTAAATAACTTTAATGGCAGTTTTGAGTTTTGTTTTAGTAATTGATAATGTTGTGCTATAGGTCTAAATTTAAGTAGATATTATTTTTGCCCTAGAAAAATATCAACTGATATTATTTGAAATAGCACAATTGGAATAATATAAAAGTTGAAGTGATTGAATTGAGATAAATGAAAGGATGCCAATAGATGTTAAATTATGCCAATCACTATCATTTGGAATATTGTTAGCTGATATGTAATTTGGATTGTTTTAAATAAATTGACTATTTCAGTAATGTTATTTTTAAAACATGAATTAACATGAACATTTTAAGTCAATTGATATGAAAATTATTATTTTTATTATTAAAGAAGAAAAAATTAATATGTTAGTAGGTAAAGTTTAAAGTAGGCCTATTACAGATAACATATGACATACAACCTAAGCTTACATATATTAACCAATTTTGCTAAAAGTGTCATGGACAAATAATACTTTTGGTTCTGAGAATATCAATAACCAAATATTAAAATATGTCCATATTTAAAAACTCCAAAGATGTTATGCATCAGTTTAGATAGTCATTATTTATTTGCATTACAAATCTGCTGATTATATTGTTAATTACACATTAAATATTAAAAATTTTGTTTCAGCATCACATTTTTTACTATCAGTTAAAAACAACTATCCAAAAAATTGTTATGAATGTTAAATGTTAACCAAAGCATTCAAAATATTTCTGAAGCCTAACATTTAAAATTAAATGGTTTGAATAGATTTATGAATGAATTGATTTCAAGTGTTCTGTCCACAAGTCCCTCTCACCTATTCTTAACATCTTGCAGCATTTGAATATATCAAATGATGTCAATTGATATTTTTTACTAGGGTGGGTTATTTATTTATTTTTGATATTAACTCATAATTCCATTGTGTGCACATTTTTTTGTCTGCAATTTTGTAATAAAATGTAGATTTACTTTTTAGTTTTAAATTATTTTTTGTATATATAGTATGAATGAATAAAATACAGGTTTTCCTTATACAACACAAAATTCCTACAACACTGTTTCATTCTAACACAGTTCAAGAATTGGAGACATCCCCATACAAAACTTTGCAATTTTTAAGTGTAAACAGTATCATTTGATAACTTTTATTCAAGCAAGCATGTGTGTTGTCTCATATTTGTTCACAAATTTTAGAATATTGAAATTTTCAACATTGTTTCGTGCCTTTCACCCAGTTTTCTTTAATGAGAACTGATTGTATAATTTTCCTTCATCCTTGTCCTTAGTTTCCTATTCTAGCTTACCTATAAATCAGGTTGTTGTTGGTGATACTGCTCTAAATAAACCTGAAAGACTGTTGCTGTGTTTTGTTTTTATAGATTAAATTAAAAGGTACTATATAAAAAAAATTAAATTTTTAAAGATCTCTTAGGCAAATGCAAGCGAATGAAAATATCAGATTTTATGGGGGGGAAATATGTAGAAAAATCAAGATGTTGCTGATACTTCAGATTAAGGTCAATAGGAAAACTCAGATGATGATGATGATTTTGCCAAAAAGAAAACATCCTCATTTAATGGTATTTACCAGAATTAAAGAATAGTATAGTTTTGCTAACTTTTGGAACCTAACCCTATATTTTGTTTTAGTCCTTTGTTTTGTATAGCATGAGTTTGCATAACACAGAACTTTTTCAGAACCTAACTACAGTGTTATATGGGGAATATCTGTACTTAAAACATCTTGATTTTATTAATATTTATTAATATAGTCATGTAAAGCAAACTATATTCATTATTATAATAACAAAATATACAAATTTTGTACAAATTAACTTATTTACCTTTTATGAAAAATTATTTGTTCTAAAATATTCGAAATATATCTTCCTTTTTTAGGATAATACATGCAATTGACTTTTTCCATAAACTCTGTTTATGAATTTTAATTGTGCACAACTTTGTCATGTGTTGTATGGTACATGCGGCAAGATTGTGATTGTTGTGTGCGTCATATGATGCAATACAAAAGTGATTAAACAGCCCAATGTGTTTTTGTTACATTATTACCATGGAGGAAATATTTTTGTTTATAAACTTGTTTCCATACTTTTTAAAAACTTCATGTAACTGCAATTTAGGAAATAATTTTTGTGTTGGTTTTATGTTGTTAATTTTATTTTTTTTATCATTTAGTATTTTTGTGCAGTTTTCTAACTTAATGTTTGGGATTTTTCAAAAGCACAAGTAATTCGGCTAATAAATGCCATGTTATATTAATTTGGAGTACTATGCATAATCCTTTTTTCTTTGATGATCATGATGGAAGAGGAAGGAAATAAGGTTGCCAAATGTCCTTTATTTCAAAGAACAATACTTTATTTCAGCTAACCTATTCTTGTTTTTTTATTGAAACAAGATGTCGCTTATTTTCATTTTTCAATGCTTTAGTTTCGTAATGGCAATAATGAATCTTTGCACAGTTGTATGCCTATCTTTAAACAATCCATATCCATTCCTGTAAAAAGTTATGGTTTACCATTAAAAATTTTAAAATATTTATAGTTAAAGTGAAAAGCTGTAGTTTTTGATTAAAATTAAAAAATATAAACAGAATGGTTAATAATAATGTTTTAATTTTAAATATGGATATATCAAAATATGCAAAGAAAATATTTTAAATATTTTATTTGCATATTTTGAGTTTCTGTAATCCAAACTTATATCTACAATGATGGCAGTGTACATGAGTTAACTATTCTTTTTAGTTACGTTAGAGATTGGTTTTGATAATTAGTTTATTAAATATCAACTTTCTGAAACCCAATGTATTGATACTAAGCCAAACAATTGCTGTAATGAAGACAATAGTTTGGCTTAGTTTATTAAATATTTCTGATATTCCTAGATTTTTGTGTCAAATGTATATCAGTATTATTTCTTAGCATAAATATTTGTAATGATTTATTTTTGCAGTACTTTTGTTTGTAATAGTGTTGATAGATTTGTTATGCATTATTTTGCTTAAGTTTATTTTTAATCCTACTTCAATTTTTGTGGCAAATCCTTGGATAGCAATTGAGCTTTAATCAGGATGATGACATTTTAAATTGAATGTAAGAGTTTTTTAAATAGCTTATTTTAATTTTTGTTAATTATATTTTCTCATCAATTTAAATTTTACATAATGTATTCTGATGTATTTAGATAATAATTTTGGAAATATGATTTTTGTCATAATTTTATAATTTCTATAAGTTATCATGAGTATTTATTAAGGCTTTTAGAACTTTATATACAGTTGAACCATATTAAATGAGAAAAACATGTGAAAGTACTTTTAAATTGCTTTCAAAGTAAATATTGTCATTACAAAAGAACTGCACAGCACAAATTAACATGTAATTTGCTAATTGTGATGACATGTTATGTATTATTTACATTGCTTTTTGTATATGCTGGTGATTTCCTGTTAGTGTGGACTAAGCTAAGTAAATACATAATTTGCTTTTTCATTTTTTAATAATCATGTAGAATTTTCCAATGTTAAAATGCATAAAAAAGAAGAAATTGCTGTAGGGTACTGAAATATGACTTATAAGGATGTGGAATTGTATAAATTAAAAATGAATAACTGTTTTATAATGAAGAAAGTACATTACAGAAAATATTTAGCATATAATTATGAAAAATTTACAATTGAGC